AGCAAGGGCAGAACTCTCTGTGACAAGGACAACAGCATCAGGAACAACAGAGGGCTCACCCATCATTACCTTTTTCCTGCTTGATTCATGGCGTACTTCGGAGAAGACTGCTCTAATATTTGGCAACAACTTTGTTCCCAATATGCGCCCCCGAACATCATCTAGACTTTTGTTGAGTCCCATTAAGAACTTAAATATTCTCTTCCTTTCGACAAATTCTCTGCATTTTTTCGCATCATCGGAGCAGCTCCATTCATGTTCTTCGCAAGCATCCAGTTGCTGCCAATGTCGAGTGAGAATGTTGTAGTATTGAGTGACGGATAAATCTCCTTGTTTGAGATCCTAGAGAGCGGCTTCAATCTCAAAAATTTCAGAGGTATTTTCTCTCTTTGAATAAAGCTCCTTAGCCGTATTCCAGATTTCATGAGCCGATTTATAGAGCGAGAAAATTTCACCTATCTCATTTGTCATAGAATTGACCAACCAAGACATCACCATATTATTTTCAATCTTCCAGAGTCTAAATTTTGTATCTTTACCCTTTGGAGGAGTGACTTCACCGGTGAGATACTCATCCTTTCCCTTTCCGCAGATGTACATCATGACTGACTTAGACCACTGGAGGTAATTGCTCCCATTTAGTTTGTGTCCTATTATGGGAAATGGAATGCTGTCGGCTCCGCCATGGATGCTGGTGATGGGGACTTCGGAACTAGAAGTAACCTCTAATGAGGATGAGGTTTGTTTTTCTGTGGCCATTCCGTATTTGGTCATTAAAGGGATAGTTTAAACACTGCCTCGGGAGAGATTAAGAGGTACTCGGGTAGAGGGGACTGATGTAAGAATAGTCTCCTAATAAGACTGTGAGAATATGGGAAGAAAAGAAAGAACCCTGCCGTGAGAGTAGGCCTGTGAATGGCATTCAGTTTTGCCAAGAGAACAAGGCCGGATAATGGTAGTTTAGTTCAAAGGAATTCCCAAAGAGTATGAGCCTAAGGCTCTGATACCATGTGTGTTTTTGAGAAAGGAATATTATGATTCTCCTTAATAATTCTGACTAATGTACAACCTTAAATAATAAGGGAGGAAGAATTCTTCTAGAAAACACGCAACTAAAAAAGGAAAAATACAAAATAGGGAATCGGTCAATTAAGCCAATATCCCTCTTATTCTAGGTAACAAATAAATCTAATTATAACTAATCCCTAGGAATCGGGTAACAGCTAATTCCTAGAAATCAGTGATTAAATCATAGATTTCCACAGTGAGTACCCAAGAAAAATACATTTGATTGCTCTGGGATCGAGTTTGCTTCGGTTATGAGGATAAATATGAACAAAGGCTGAGCAACCAAACAGTTTGGGTGGAATGGTGGAAATGAGACGACTTTCTGGATAGGCTTTGAGAAGGACTTGACTCGGAGTTTGAAATTTTAGCACACAGGATGGTATTCTGCTGATAAGATAAGCTGTCGTAAGGACAACTTCTCCCCAGAAGTGTTTTGGATCATGGTGTTGAAATTTTTGAAGATTTGCTCTACTTTTGATTTTTCTTTCATGAGAAATATCCACATAATTCTTGTGTGATCATCAATAAAGGATACAAACCAACGTGTCCCGGTGATATTTTTAATATTAGATGGTCCCCAGACATCACTATGAATCATAGAGAAAGGATGTGACATGTCATATGATCGACTAGGATAAGAATTACGAACATGCTTTGAAAGATGGCACACTTCACATTGAAAATTCTTAGATCTTTTATTTCTGAATAAAGAAGGGAACAGTTTTTCAAGATAAAAGAAATTAGGATGTCCTAGGCGATAGTGCCATAACATAATTTCACTATCCTTATTTGAAGAAATAGAAACACAACTATTATGAGACTGACTTGGGAAGACTGCTTCGTGAGCTTGTAATTCCACAAAGTGATCACCTTTGACGAGATAGAGTCCCGAGCACGCTTCAGCATTGCCAATCATCTACCCCGAATCTGAGTCTTGAAATTCACACATCTTTTGGAAGAATTTAGCGACAATTCTTATCTCAGGTCAGTTCACTGATTGACAGTAGATTATAATAAAGATTCGGTACAAGTAAGACAGAATGAAGAGACAAAGTCTTAGAAATTGTAACCGAACCAAAGCCTGCAACTTTTGAAATAGAGCCATCTGCAATCTTAACTGAGTGATTTTCATTGCTAGGCATAAAATCAGTAAGAAGGGATTTATCTCCTGTCATGTGGTATGAAGCACCCGAGTCAACAATCCAAATATCATTTCTTTCCCTGCTAACAATTAAGGTTTTTTCTCCCTGTAGCAACACTTGAAAATGAGTGTTTCAGGGGATAATTAATTTCTTTCATTGATCATGTATTTATAGGATTTACACAGCATATACAAATCCTTCAAATCAAGAAAGTAATCACTGGTTTAAGAAATATAGCTAATTCTAGGAAGAGAATAACTTTTAACAGCTACTTCCTAAAATACAAAGATTGACAACTAATTAGCTAATACTCAGCTTTACAAGGATTGTTTCCAAAACAGCTTCAATTTTCCAACGTGTTAGATTACCAATCCATCCCAAAAGCTTAATCTTTTAGGAGGTGGGCCAACAATAGTTTAATACTTTAACACTCCCCCTCACATGTGGGTTGGACAATGGGCAATCGTGTGGGTAAATTAATTGGAAAGCCCAACACGTGAATGTTTAAGCCCGAGATATATTAAAGACCCAACACATGATGACAATTTAAATGGGGATAAAGAGTGCAATTACGGGGGTTTGAACTCAGACCTCCCGCTTTGATACCATGTTAGTTTACCAATCCATCCCAAAAGCTTAAGCTTTTAGGAGGTAGGCCAACAATAGTTTCATACTTTAACAAACAATGGAAGAGCCGGTGGATTGATTGATCATTTTTTGAAGAAATTCAAGCTGTTCTTTGCTGAAGAGAACCAGTTCGGTGGTGCTATTCTCACTGGTTGAGGATGCAATATTGCCACGGCTTTCAGGTGTTGGGCGTGAGGGTTTCCAATCAGCAGATTTCCCGTGAATCTTCCAACAAGTATCCCTGGTATGGCCTGTTTTCCGACAATGCTCACACCAGGGCCTACCTCCTCTTGCCTTGTTCTCTATGTTGTTCGGTTGAGGTCCACGCACAGCAAGGGTTGATCCTTCAGTGCATGTGGTTGTGGGCAAATTGTTTGGTGTTCCCAGCATCACTTTCTTTCGGCTTTCTTCCCTTCTTATCTCCGAGAAGGCTTCTCTTAGACTTGGCAGAGGTTTTGTGCCTAAAATTCTCCCACGGACTTCATCTAGATCCTTGTTAAATCCCATTAGAAACTTAAACACTCGTTTTTTTTTTTTCAATGATCTGCCTATACCGATTTCCATCATTTGGACTCTCCCAAGTATTCTCTTCCAACAAGTCTAACTGTTGCCAATAATGAGTAAGAGTATTATAGTATTGGGTAACAGAAGTTTCACCTTGTCGGAGATCATGGAGAATGGTTTCCACACCAAATAGTTCAGAGGTGTTGCTGGAGTAGGTGTCTTTGGCAGCATCCCAAATTTCTTTGGCAGTACTATAGAGGAGAAAATTTTCTCCAATATCGTTGATCAACCAAGACATTACCATGCTGTCCTCAGCTCTCCAAGACCGGTACTTAGGGTCTTTTTCTCCTGGTGAGGCCAATAGGCTTGTGAGGTGGTCATCCTTCCCTTTCCCACGAATAAAGATGAGAACGGACTGTGACCATTGCAAATAGTTATGCTCGTTCAGCTTGTGGCTTGTGATTGGTAGAATCCCACTGCTGTCCGCGCCTCCACTGTTTCCCGCCACTGGATTTTCTTGATTGGAGGTGATTTCGAAGGTGGAGCTTCCTCGATCTGCTGCCATGCCGTATTTGGCCATTGTATAGGGGACTATAGGAGAGTTGATGGGAAAAACATGGGTTACTGGACAGAGTCAGAGGCCGGTCTCTGATACCATAAAGAATTGAATGAAGAATATAATTCTTTTCATTGATTTAGAATAGTACATAGGCTGAATATATATACAACGAGGCATGATCTGTAGCCTTATTCTAAGGAAATAAAATTGATTTCTAGCCTAATCTGATCAAGAAAATATCATGAAATATTTCTTGATTTCCTAAATTAACTAAATAAGGAAAGTTTGACAAATCAAGGCTAATCTACAGCCTGTCACAGCTGTAGTAAGATTGTACAATTCAGAAAGTGATGCAGTCCAATCCGGATTTTCAACAATTACTTTAACTTTGTAAATTGATTATGCAAGATTTGTTGCAAAAGAGGAAGCCATTCCTTTCCATTTCTCCAGGATGGTGTGTGCTATACAGGAACGATAATGAGACATCGGATCACTTGTTCCTCCACTGCACTTTTCTTTGAAGATATGGTCTAAAATTATAGGGGAGTTCCATTTACAGTGGGCTTTTCCAAGAAGTGCTCCTGATCTAATGGGTGTTGATGTTTTGGGTGATTGGAATAAGAGAACTAAGCGGTTATGGAACATAGTAATCTTAGCTTCTCTTTGGGCGTTGTGGTTGGAAAGGAATAATCGTATCTTTGATGGAGTTGAAAGAGATGTTAGTGATGTCTGGGATTGCGTAATTTACTGGGTGGCGTTGTGGACTTTGCAAGATAAAGAAATCAAGGCTTTTTCATTCTTGGATTCCTAAGGGGATGGGACTTAATTTTGTTATACTTATGTTGTCCCTATTGTGGTTTTTGTTTGTTAAGTACTTTTGCTTTTGACTGTTTTGTTTGGTTTGAGGACCCCTTGCCCTCTGGTGTTTTTATTTTCATTATTAATAAAATTCTCGTTTCTTATCTCAAAAAAAAAAAAAAAAAAAAGAATGAAAAGGAGAAGTTTTCAGTTAGGCATCCACTTACCAAAAAAAGAAAGTTGATCAATAAAAGTTGTTTTCTTATAAATAAAAAAAAAAAAAAAGTTGGGCATCCACTTACCGATAGCACGTTCTTCAGCAGAGATGCACAATTAATCACTAGTGTGAGGGTGACTCCAGATAACATGGATATAAAAGGATAACTTGACAGCAACAATATCGTAACAACCTTAACATGGATGGAACCAAGGACCGACTTGAGAATGAATTCCATAAAAATATGAGGGACAAAAATGCTAACATATGAAGAATGTAAAAAACATACAGCTCCAGTTCGAGAAACCATTACGGGCCCGAAAGTCCTCTCAAACATTGGGTAGAAAAGCAACTGAAAGAGTAGCAGGCCAAATCCTGGAAGATTGTAAAAGAATATCAAAATTTGGAGTATACAACAAGAAAGGATGTTACTATATATTTGTGTGCATTTGAATTTGTTAGTTTGTGTATTCTCTTTTGTAATTTTTTATGGAATTGAACTACTAAAAAAATAAATGTAAAAGAACAAAAACTGAGGGGACGAGAACGACCCCAGAAAGGAACGACCACAACCCAGAAAGATAGATTTTTTTAACTTAAATGGAAAGACTCTAAGGATATATATCCTTAGCGCCATTTAAAGTAGAAGAAATAGTAAAGCCAGATACTCTGATCCTCTCTCTCTTTCCACCCAAAGAACCCAAAACAAAAACGAAACAAGACACTTCCACAAAACTTAAAGAGCGCTATGATTGCGTTATTAAAGAATCTACTATATATACACATGCACATATATCCACCAAAAAGAATATGTGCTGTTTTTCTGATGATTCCTCGTGCTTTCACAAAACGTTCTCAGGTGGATTGCTGAAATCATCGGTCTCGAACTAGATGCAGTTTTTCCACTAGAAAAAACCTTGGCTGGTAATGATAATTACTTTGAGCAGTAAGGGAAAGAAAAGAATGCTTTCCCTTAGACAGCAGATGACACATACGATGGATGATTTTCTAACAAATAGCTTGCACTATCAAACAAATAATTTACTCTGAGAAGGTAACTCAACCCATTGTGTAGGTTAAATCATCATGAATTGAAGCTTTCCAACCTGCCTCCTCCAGGAGACCAATGGTTTCTTTTTCCATTTTGACTAACCTTTCAATAGAGTATAGACACACAATGCCTTTATTCTGTTCAGATTCTTTTGCTTGGTTGATATTGTTTAAAAACCTCGTCTTGAAAAGAAAAAAAAGGTACAACTGGAATAGAATAATTTCATGGATAAGAAATTATATAGCCATGTACCAGAAATTGCGAGAACTTCACCCACATCTGAACTTGAGTAGCTTAATCCTCCATACTTTTTAGGACTGACAGCCCATAATGGAAAAATCTGAAAAACAGTGCCAAAGATGGAAAAATAAGAATCATATTAGATCGTAAGTTCAAGGAAGTTAAGTGGAAGAAAATTTTATTACCTCTGCGTAAGCCATGTCGTGAAGTTGGAAGACACAATACACTATAATTGAGGACATCAGGGGCCAGTTCTTAAGAAGACTTTGTTGAGAAGTTGGACAGGTATCCTCAGATTCTTGCAAATTTCCTTTAGGATTAGCCCCGTGTCTGATGGAGTCCGATGAATTACTGAATTCTTCATGCTCTTCATCATTTTTAGTATGGACGTCAAGTGTTTCCTGAAACCATCCACATATTATTTAGCCTCCAAGTTTGATATTGAAGGTCGAATATAACAAGCATGGAAGGCATTGCATTTGGAATTGTATATTAACATCACAATTTTAACACAGAAATAGGGTTAAAATTATCCTAAGGTTATGTAGCACCAAAAAATGAAGCGCATAAATAGAATGTCAATGGGGGAAAATAGCATGTGCAACTTATAAATTTCTAAGTTTAGCCAAAAAAAATTGTAAATTTCTCATTATACGCAGTCTTTACTAATCTCTCTGTACCTTCTTTTTTTGTTTTTCTTTGTATGAATTTGCTTATGGAGGATTCCTTATTGGGTTTTCTTTTAATAATCGATAGAATGGTTCTATTCCTAATAACCCATTCATAGTTTCGGCTAAAAGATCTTAATATTTAAGTATCCCCACCACTCTTTGTTGACAAAAAAGAGTCTTAAACTCACTTATTATTTCCTTTCAGTTTGCACAAGGCTATCAGAATATTCTCGAAGAGCATTGCCATTATTTTCTTTAAGTAGCAAAAGCTATTAATGTGCCAAATTCATGCCTCTGCTAACATTTTGATTTTCCTTCAGATCTCTACTTTGTTATTGTAAATTCCAACAAATTCAAGTAACCATTCTTATAGAAAGGATAAAACTCGGATGTTCGGAAAACAATAAGAATTGCCTTGAGAAACAGGAACAATGTCAATCAATGCAGGTGAGTAAATCTTCTCCATTGGGATTTAAAGTTCATACAATTGCTTTGCCTACTTGCCTCTTGGGCGAGGTGAAATATTGCTAGACCAAATATGCTGACCAAATTGACTGTGAGCGATATAATTGTGGTTTTTTCAGATGCTTTAGGTTTTTTTTTTTTTTTTTTTTTTTTTTTTTTTTTTTTTTTTTTGTTGGTTTATAATCTCTTATAGCTGATCAAACATTGTGTACAATATTAGTGAGGATGAGGATCTCCAAAAATCAGCAGTAAACAGATTACAAAATGTTGAAATGATTAAATGTCTTGAGATGGAGCTATTAACATACCGGCATCCAACAGCTCATAAAAGCCACAGCCAGAGCAAAGACCGATATCGACAAGCAAGGTAAGAGGTACGGAAACCTGAATTTCACAAGTTTCAGAAGTAACAGAAAAAGTATGGATAAGCCAATAATCATAAAACAATACTTACAGATAAAACTAAACGACTAATGCTTACCTCCCAAACAGAGATTCTTTAGAAAATATTTTTGGAAACTTCTCTGCAGGCTACGGGACAAATTAATCAAAAACAAAATCATAAACCATGTTATATATAAATAAAAACAGAATAAAAAAAAAAAAGTCAATTTTTTTTTGTTGAAAAGAAACGATCTTTATTAAATTATAATCTGAACGCAGTTTAAATGAATCTGCCTTGCTTTATTAATCGAAAGAAAGTTAACTTAAATAGACTAGGGCTTGAATACCGAGTCCATTATCTTCTCTAAGATAATCTATCCTATCCGAATTCAAATACTAATTGATAATTCCTAATCCAAATAACCGGAAATAATAAACTAAATAATAAAGATAAATAATAAAGATAACTATTCGACTTATTCAACCTATCTCTAAAAGATCTTATCTGCTAACACTCCCCCTCAAGTTTGGCCGTAGATATCAATAAGCCTAAGCTTGCCTACAAAATACTCGAACGTTGGTCCAGAAAGTCCTTTGGTGAGTATATCCGCAACTTGTTATCCTGTAGGAATGTACTCAATGCTGATGATTCCCTTCTCTAGTTTTTCAGTAATAAAGTGTCTATCCACCTCCACATGTTTGGTTCTATCATGATGGACTGGGTTGTGTGCTATGCTGATAGTAGCCTTATTATCACAGTAGAGCTGCATAGGAAACTCACAAATGATCTTCAACTCTTCTAGCAACCGTTTCAACCAAATTGCTTTGCAGATGCCATGAGCCCTGGCTCTGTATTCAGCTTCAGCGCTGCTTCTTGCTACTACGGACTGTTTTTTACTGCGCCAAGTCACCAAGTTTCCCCCAAAGGCGTGTGCAATATCCGGATGTTGATTTCCTATCTTCAACAGAACCGGCCCAATCGGCATCAGTGAAGATTTCCACTCTCCTGTTTTCTTCTTTTCCAAAAAATAATCCTCTTCCCGGAGTTTTTTTGAGATATCTCAATATCCGATAAATAGCCTCGAAGTGTCCTTGGCGCAGTGAATGCATTTGTTGGCTTACCACACTAATTGCAAAGGCGATGTCCGGTCTTGTATGTGAGAGGTATATCAGTTTTCCCACTAGTCGTTGATATCTTTCTCTATCAGCCATCTCTCCACCAATTGCTTTTGCCTTGCCTCCTTGTTCAATTGGAGTTTCTATCGGTTTGCACCCCAGCATACCCGTTTCTTGCAATAGGTCTAGTGTATACTTCCTTTGGGATATGTTGATCCCACTTTTGCTTCTTGCAACTTCCATCCCCAAGAAATATCTCAGCGTACCGAGATTTTTAACTTCAAACTCCTCAGCCATCAACCTTTTAATTTCTTCAAAGTTGTCCCCAGTAAATATTATATCATCTACATATACTATTAGGACTGTGATCTTTCCATCTAATGAGTGCTTAACAAACAACATGTGATCGGTTTGTCCTTGTGAGTATCTGTGGCTTTTGATCACCTTTGAAAATCTATCAAACCATGTGCGCGGAGATTGTTTCAGTCCATATAGCGATTTCCTCAGTTTGCACACCATCTTGTTTCTCTTACCCTCTTCAAACCCGGGTGGTAGGCTCATATACACTTCTTCCTCCAATTCACCATTTAAAAAAGCATTCTTCACGTCAAATTGAACCAGAGGCCAATCCAGATTTGCCGCTAATGATAGAAGGACTCTTATTGTGTTGAACTTTGCAACTGGGGCAAATGTCTCAGTGTAATCGATTCCATAGGTTTGTGTAAAACCTTTTGCAACGAGCCGTGCTTTGTACCTTTCTATTGATCCATCCGGTTTGAATTGGACAGTGAATACCCATTTGCATCCGACCACACTCTTGCCTTGTGGTAGTTCAACCACACTCCATGTGTTATTTTTCTCGAGCGCTTGCATCTCTTCAAGTACTGCGTTTTTCCATTCAAGAACAGCTAGAGCTTCTTCTATTGACCTGGGAATATTGACACTAGACAACTTTGTGGTGAAGGCGCGGAAACATGGAGACAAATTATCATATGACACAAATTTGGATATGGGATGTTGTGTACATGTTCTAACACCTTTCCTATGGGCAATTGATATATCTAGCGTTTCACAAGTGTCTTCGGAATTACCTAGATCTGAGGAAGTAGTTCCTAGCATTGGTTCGGATTCTGGACAGTGCATGGTGTTCATGAGGGGCATGTTTCCTTGAGAATGTTTTTTCCGAGAGTAAACACGTAGCACTTGTTGATTTGGTCCACTGAGGTCTCTTCCTATTTCTGTTTCGTGAACCGGTACTTGTGTTTGCTGTGGCATTTTTCCAGAGGGTGGTATGATGTTGGAAGTGTTTCTGTTTCGTGAACCGGTACTTGTGTTTGCTGTGGCATTTTTCCAGAGGGTGGTATGATGTTGGAAGTGGTAAGGTTGGATGTGGTGGGTGTAGTTGCAACTGTTTCAGTTGCAGTCTCGGGCAGTGAGGTTATAGGCATAGGTGGAGTTTCGGATATAGGCAGAACAATGGTGTCCCAATCCCATATATGAGCTTCTTGATCATGATTCTCCCCCTGAAGCGAATTGGGGGAATAATATGGCATGTCTTCGAAGAAGATGACATCACGTGAGATAAACATTTTCTTTGCTTAGGATAGTAGCATCGGTATCCTTTCTGGGTAGGAGAATAGCCGAGAAAGATAGTCTTAAGTGCTCGAGGCAAGTTTGGTTCGGTTTTGGGGATGAATATGGACAAAAGTAGTGCAGCCAAACATCTTGAGCGGAAGGTTATTTATGGTTTTAAGATGTGGATAGGTCTTTGTGAACTGGGATAATGGGGAATGGAATTTTAAGGTGCGAGTAGGTAGGCGGTTTATAAGAAACGCAGCAGTTAAGATAGCATCTCCCCATAGGTATTTGGGAACATTCGTTGTAAACATGAGTGCGCGAGCTACTTCCAATAAGTGCTTGTTTTTCCTTTCCGATACTTCGTTTTGCTGCGGGGTATCAACACATGAACTGTGATGAATGATTCCTTGTTGTAGCAAGTACTCTCCCAAGATAGACTGAAAGTATTCTCTCCCGTTATCTGTTCTCAATACACATACCTTTTTCTGAAACTGGGTTTGGATCATGTTATTGAAATTTCGGAACACTTCGGAACACTTGGCAGGTTTCTAATTTTTCTTGAAGAAGGTATACCCAAGTTGTTCGTGTGTGATCATCAATAAACGTCACAAACCATCTTTTTCCATTTGTTGTGGTAATCCTTGACGGTCCCCAGATATCACTATGAATTAAAGCAAATGGGCTAGAGGACATATAAGGTTTGGGAGAAAATGGTACCCGAGTGTGTTTCGCATATTGACAAATATCACAATGAAAAGAAGTACTTTTATTCTTAAATAAGGGTGGTAATAAATGTTTTAAATATAAAAAATTAGGGTGGCCAAGTCTATGATGCCACAACATTATTTCCCTATTACTAGAAACAGAAACTGATGAAACTCCGGATGCAAATGCTTGTTGACTCTCACTCTCTATGTCCTCATGGTAATAAAGCCCCTTATGAACTCTAGCACTGCCAATCGTCCTCCCCGATGATAGGTCCCCGATGATAGGTCCTGAAAATAACATTTAGAAGGGTGAAAAATAGCAACACAGTTATTATCACAAGTGAGTTTACTTGTGGATAACAAATTGCATCTTAAGGTAGGAACATGAAGAACCGACTCAAGTGTTAAGTCTTTGGATACTTGTATTGACCCTATTCCGGCAACCAAGGATAAGGATCCATCTACAATTTTTACTTTAACAGGACTATGACTAGGGGTATAAGAGAGGAAAAAATCAAAGACACCTGTCATGTGGTCGAAGGCACCAGAATCAATGATCCATGGTTCCTTAGAGTGGAAGGTAGACTTAAAGGATGAGTGAAAGTTACCAATCTAGGCTACAGAACAGGATCCGGGATTTAGAGTTGACGAGGATGAGGCAGGTGATTGGTTGAGGCGATAGAGTTGCTCAATCTGTTCTTTGCTAAACGGAAGGGATTTCTGGTTTTCTGTTGTTGCTCCTTTGTCTTGGTTTGATTGAGTTTAAAGCACTCGTCTTTCATTCTGTCTTCGGCGAACCCAATTTGCGGGTTTACCATGAATTTTCCAGCATGTGTCACGTGAATGTCCTTGTCGATTATAATGGTCACACCACATTCGTTCTCCTCGCTGTGGGTTTCTAGACTCACTATTGTTCCTTATTGGTTGTGCAGTATTCTTGATTGCCAGAGCCGAGCCCTCTGTTGATGCTCCACCGGATGTTTCTTCCTCTGACAACATGACCTCTCGGCGATTCTCTTCTCTACGAACCTCGGCAAAGGCTTCTTCAGTTGTTGGGAATGGTATTCTGCTTAAAACACGGCCCCTGACTTCGTCAAGATCCCGATTCAATCCTGCAAGAAAATTAAATACCCGTTCTTTTTCAAGAGTCTGTCTTTGCTTTACATTGCACGTAGGACAGACCGAATCTTCTTCTAGGAAAAGATCCAATTCCTGCCAATTGTCTTGCAGATTGGTGAAGTACTCGGTAACCGATTTGGTTCTTTGCTTCATCTCCTTCAGTTTTGTGCGAATTTTGAAAACCTGTGAGGCATTGCCAAGATCGGAATATGTTCTTTTTGCAGTATCCCATACGTCTTTAGCAATAGGAAGAAAGAGACATCGGCGGCTGATCATGGGCTCCATGGAGTTGATAAGCCATGCGTGTACAATCGAGTTTTTGGCAAACCACTTTTTGTATGTAGAGTCAGTCGGTGCTGGAGCTTTAGCTTCACCAGTGATGTATTCGAATTTTCCCCTGCCACAGATCACAATCTTTACTGACTGAGACCATTGAAGATAATTTTTTTCATTGAGTTTGTGAGCCGTAATTTGGAGAGAGTTATTGTCTCCACCTTAAAACGCCGTGACGAACTGATCGGCGTGAGTTTTATCGGAGTTTTCTGATTTGGAATCATCTCCATGTGAGGACCCCATCATGGCTGTTTTTGCCATTGAAATATTCAGAGTTCAAGGCTCTGATACCAT